AGTGAGGTTCTGAGAAGTAGCTCAAGAATATCTGGTTTATGGCCACATCTCTACATCTCCCCTCAGCAATGCCCTAACCCTGTATAACAAATCACTTTGGTCAAGCAAGAATATTCTGGGGGGGTGAGCAATCTTACTCAGGGCTCCTAGGTGTAATTAAAAATCCTTTTCCAGGAACTGGAGAGTCCTTTATTTGCAATTGCCTCTTCAACCAGTACCAGTATCACTAGTATTTTTAGTGCATTCAAGCCAATATTCTTCCTAAGCAGTAACCAGTGAGTTAGGTCTTAAGAGTTTATCTTCTAAACAATGTAGTCCTGCCTTGTATGGAAACCTTCTGCCTCCAGAAATGACACCACATTAGAAAGGTGCATTTTTACCATAATTAGTTTAGTTGGTTACATAGAAATTCATGAGTTTCTACTTCAGTATCCAAGAACAGGCAGAAGTGAATAGCATATTACATAATCCCTGTTTTTCTAGTTCCACCAGTTGAGGGGTTCTTCAGTTTCTGCTTGAGATCTTTGGATCTCAATATTAATTTTTCTAATTTAGCTCTTAGCTTTCTGTTTCTCTTCAGTTTTGGTGGTATGCCTGTGGTTAAAATTACACATATCCAAAATGAGGAGCAGACAATGCTTGTGTTAAAAAGAAAAAAAAAAAAAAGAGAAACTCTGTTATATATCCAGTATATAAGCAGTAAAGGATGGAAAACACAGTATGGCACTTACAAGGAAGAAGGTACCCAGTTTTATCTTCTCCAAAATAAAAGTTTTCCAAGAAGTCCATCTTGATTTCTCCTAATGTCTGCTGTTGTTCTCATAATGCTTCCAGACAGAGCCATCTCACAGTCTTGCATGACTAAGATAATATGTTGAATTGTTTTTGCTTATAGCATTGTGTACAGAAAACTGAAATAGTTCAGATATTATCCAGTATGAAAGAAAACATATAAAATATGTTTTACATCATTCTTTGTAACCTTTTTTCTCTTGTTTTTAATATAGTAGTACACGGAGTATTTCAGATGCATCATGCACAATATTTGGTATCAAGTTATTGTTTTTCCCCCTGTATATTTGTTCTGTCCTCCAGTTAGCTTCACCTTTTAACCTTTAATCTTTGTATATTATCCAACATTTTAAAATATTTATCAAAGAATGTTGATAGTAATTTACTGTTTGTCTTTTCCAACTTAATGCAAAAATCAGTAGGCTAATTCTGTCAATTGAAATAAGCTATGGAATATGCAGTCATTCTATTTAGTTACATATTTTAGTCCTAGAAGAATCTGCTGTCTTAGATCCTCTGCTTTCACAATAAAAAGTATATTGAATAACAATTGCTATTAAATAAAGTAAAAGATATAAAAGGTAAAGTTTGTTGTTTATAAACGCACTTAAATATATTTAATTAAACTGCATTATTTTGAAGACCAAATACTATTTTGTAAAGATTAGAGTCTAACATAAAAAATGCCTTTGTATCTGACAGAAACTCAGTCACTGTAAGATGTTTTATTAGTATTCATCATGTAAAAGGAAGTTAAATACAGACTAAGGGAATCTATAAAAAATAATTGGTTAAGCCAACATTCTCATTAACTTAATTTGCATTAAATGTGCTGCTGTGAATTGTAGTTATTGCTTTTTCATTTGAAAGGCATGCTTTGTTACTGTATTTAAAAGCCCAGTTAAAGGATATCGGTTAATCTGCAGTCTAATTCAGAAACTTCTCAACTTGTGGGTCAGTAACTTCCCCTAGAAGCAGTTGTTTGAGAATGAGGAACCAGAAGCCATTTCCTGATCCCAGTAGATGTTTCCATTGAAGTGGATTTGTTTACCCACTTTTCATCTAACCCTTCTCAGATTTCTAAGACATCCCTGACAATTTTGTTGAAGACCAGCCACACCACAGGAAATGGTGGAAAGTGGCATCATCAGTGAATGCTTGTTTTGTCACAGTATAAAAGCCTGAGAGCCCCTTGGTTTAATTAATTTCCTGTTCAACAGAAATTCAACCATGGCACACGGTTTAATTGAGCATTGCCAATCACAGGCATTCATAAATCATAAATAAGATACTGAAAATCATGGGACTGGCTTTGAAATTAGGAGATTTAAAAAAATATTTGAGGCTCTTTCTGTGTACTTTCTAAATGAACAGCATTAACTGTAATTTATTAGTAGCAGTCTAAATTGGTTTGGAGACACATTAAGAGGAATTGTTTATTCTTCTTGTATGCAGTTAAGAGTAAAGGACTTGTATGAATTCTGTATTCTGAGGATGAAGCTTGAAGTTACATACTAAAGTCCATACTTAATGAATGAATAAAGGGTTTTCATTTTCAATTGTACTGAACTTCCATGGCTGCCATTGAAGCCAAGAAGAAGCAGTAAATGCCTTTAAAAATAAGGCTTCCTAATAAGTGCATTTAAGTGCCTAATTGTAAATATCTGCATTTGTAAATTTGACTTTGGTTTTCTTTATAAATAGTAATTAGTACATTTATTTCAGCTAATTCATGATAGCTGATGGACTCTGGCAGAACTACCATATATATTCAATTCACTACCATTATATTCAATTCACATCTGCAAAGTTTCCTTCACAGTTGTGCAGACTGGGGTGCTTCTTTTTTAAACAAAGTAGCCATTTTTTCAAATGTTTCCAAAATCTACTTTCAGTTTTCAGATTCCCCCAAATCAGTAACATTTGCTTGAAGGATCTCAAACAGTGACTTAATTTTTTTTACTTGAATCCAACACAAGATTTTCCCACCTCCCCCCATTTCACATGGTGGAAAAAAAGCCCCTTGTCTTGGATTCAAGTACAGGGCGGCAGGGGGAGGAAGGTGTAGGTGGCTGCTGTGGCTCTGACTCCAATACTGACCTGGACTCAAGGTTGGAGCTGCAGCGCTACCCTCCACCCTCTGCTGCCTCCTCTGTGTCCTCCCCTCCCTTGCCACCACTGCTTGCCCTCCAGCTCTGGTTTGGCCCTGGCTCTGGTTTCACTTCAACCTTGGGTATGGATCACATGGCTGCTCTGGCCCCCACCTGACCATGGCAGTAGCCACAACTCTGCCCCCAGCTCTGGTGCTGCAGCCAGAGCTGGTGTTGCTGCAACTATAGCAAACTTCATGTGGCAAGCTTCACGGAGCTTCATGTGCTCCGTGCCCCTAGCCGAAATGGGGGTTAGCGGGGCCAGAGTTGGAGGATATCTGGTGGTGGAAGGGATGCAGGCAGGAGGAGGTGGGTGGGGCTGGAAGGGGAGTGAGGCAGGGAGGGCAGGTGGTGGAGGGGAGTAGTCATGGGGGGGCAAGTGGTAGGTAGGCAGGGAGGCACTAGGGGGGATGAGTAGGCAGCAAGGGGGAGATGATGTGGGGTGTGAGGCAGGGAACAAGGTGTGGGAAAGACAAGGGGCAGAGGTCAAGCCACTGACTTCTCAGTGTCTCCACTGTCACTTCTTCCCTACTGCTGCTAGCCCAACTGTAGTAGTGGCAAAGTGGGGGAGAGTACACATTTAAGATGGCCCTCCAATAATTAGCATTTATGCATGAATAATTATAACAGGTTTATACATTTTCTGTGTATAGACTCTGATTATTAGGGGGTCATCTTAAATTCAGAGTCATTTTGAATTTGGGTAAATACAGTATCTGCATTATTTATATAAATTATTAAATTTATATTTGTTAAATATATTTATTTTTTAATATTTTTAATTCAGTGCACTAAAATAGTGTAAATTCTAGGTGGGCTTATGTTTTGTAAAAAGAAGTTGAATCCCTTCTGTTAAGTATACACGCTTAACTATGAAACCATTATGGTATCTCTGCCATACAATATCTGTATGTATCTGATTGTATTCCTGTCTTCTGATCTTGCATTTACTGTTTGTCATATATTCTAAGCTTTTTTGGGGCCCAGGATCTTGCAAGCTTTGGCAACAGCTCAACTAATGGGACTCTTATCTGGAGCTTCTGATCACCACCTGACAGCCCTACAGCAATATAAACATTTTAACTGCATACAAAAAAAAATACAAAAACATCTATTTTAAAAGGCTTTTTTACACTTGAGAATCAAGAACCAGACAGTTATGAAATGTCGGAATTAAAGTTGTTCATGCAACCTTAATTTTTCATCCCATTTGTACATATTATTGTAAGTGTTTTTACTTATGTGAAAGCAGACTATTTTTTCCTCCACTGCCCTCAGGGTAAACATAATCTTTAAAGAATATAGCTGACAGACTGTAACCAGCATCTATAAAGCAAGCAAACTGAATTTTTTAGGAGGCTTATATGTGATTTGGGGAAATTTTCATATGGATGGTGGAAGGCACATACATACACAGACAGATTGAAGGTCCTTGCTTCTAAGCTACCTGGGGCTAGAGCTTCTTAAGAAAATTGTTGTAAGAGCATTCTTTCCTAAGCTTGTTTTTAGGCACTTCAGGACTACTTCTGCTGATTTTGTTTTTTAAATCTCCAGCCTAAGACATCTAAAATATAAAAAATTTCAGCCAAAATGGTTAATGTGACAAAGTAATAAACAACTAATGGAAGCTGTTAGGTATCCTTAACTATTAGTGGCACTTCCAGCTCTGCTTATAATGCTATGCTGTGTTGTATATTATACTCTTGATATGTTTACTATTTATTTCATAATTCCCTGAGTAATGAAGAGTTCTTAGACTTGTTTCTTTTTCCTTCTGCAGTTTTGAATTGAAATCTGACCTAAAATTGATAGTGTCTTCTGATAAGGCAGAAGATAATACCTACTGATATTTCTATGCAGTTTCACAAGAACTTGGAACTCTTCTGCATACCAGAAATAAACAGTGTTATAGGGGCTTGAATGAAAGCTATGTTAAAAAGTTTAATGCAAAGTTGCACAAATTTCAGCTTTTATTAATCAGGAAATTCTTGTATGGGATTTTTTTGGAAGGCCTGTTACTTATTTATAATAAAGATGCATTTAACTTTCCTTCTGCAGGAGATTCCTTCACACAGTTCCGATTTGCTGAAGAAAAGGAATGGGACACAGAAAACATATGCCCTAAACAGGTAACACAAGAGAGCATTGTATTTTTGTAAATGCAAAATATAATTCCAGACTGGATTTATCTTTTTACTTTATGTTCATGATCATTGATTCATAGTGAGTATATATTGCTGATGCAGTTGTTAATCTTACCACCAGTGTAAAAATACACTGCCCATTCTGTAGACATTCTTATATGCTTTTCTGTTCTGCTGCACCCTCTTGGGTTTCTTCTCTACTGCTGATGGACAGTCCCAGCAGTAATGTTTGGTTTGTTTTTTTTAAATGGAGGTTAAATGAAAAAAATGAGCTCCAAGAGAAATCTACCCAGAAGTAGAGAGAAGATTGTGGTCTGGCTTTGCAGGCAACTCTAGCAGGATAAATGCTTAGTAACTGTACCAGAAGTTACCAGGATAACTAAGGCTTCTGACAGATCTTAAAAAGAAGGCATGATGGGATCTGATATGTGATCCCAACAATCATGCCTTCGGCCATGCCTCATGTGCAGTACACTGAGAGCTCTGGTCAGCTGATGGGACTCCCAGCTGTGGTGGCACAGGTTTGCCTCTCCTGACTGGGAGCCCCAAATGCTGATGAGGATCCCAGCCATGGGGCCCACCATGTGCTCACACCGCTGGGAGCCCCTAGACACAGTGGGGGTGAGGGGGACAGGACCCTGAACTCCTGTGGCTGGGAGCTCCATCATTTGATTGGGGCTCTGTAACACTGTGCCCCAAATCGAGATGAGATGAAGGGTCAGCTGCCCAAAGCAAGCAGAGGGAGCCAGGGCTGAAGGGACTCCAGGGACTTCATCGGTACTCCTGGAGGTGGTATCCATTACAGTGGCCAGGTCACTACTTAAGATGTGATTAATGAGTTGTCCAGTGAAGCTGTAGCTGTAAAGAAAGGCACCATCTTGCTGCATCAAATTTTTCCAGCCACAAAATGGGTTAATAATGATCACTTTTCTTTGTAAGATCTTACTTAACACTCAGCACAGTTGCAGCACCCCCATTCTACAAAGTGATTCAAGTTGGACAAATAGAAAACATTTGGAATTAGTAATCGCTTACCAATTGCTCTTTAAAGTATACTTATGTATTTCATTTTAGAGTCTTGAACTTTTTTGGTACACTTTTGAAAACAAAAAACAAACTGAAGACATTTGGAATGTGACATGCGTGGGTTATCGACTTAACATAGACCTGTTGAATTAGTGGGGTAAAAGATTGTGGTAATAAGTGTAAAGCAGCACTTTGCCCATAAGTTTCACAAATATTTGTTTACAGCGGAACAATGGGATTCTAGAATACTGGGTTCTGTTCCAGGGCGTGAAGCGGGACTAGTGCTCTAGTGAGCAGACTTTTCTGCCTGTCCCTTTGAAGTCTGATCACTTTTGCCCTATTCTATCTAACTTGTCCTTATTTCAGTCCTTCTCTACCCCTGGCTTCTCAGCTAAGTCTTCATTTCCTTGTGTAGTTAAACTAATTTCCATTGCTTAGGTTTTTCATTTCAACCTCCTTGCCTAGTTTGACTCAGTTTTCTTTCCCCTCTTGGCTTCATATCCAACCTATTTATTTTTCCTCACCTCTGGCCTCAGATCTATTCTCTGTCTCCCTCTGCCTGACCACAGTTTTAAGACGCCTTCCCTAACTGAAGTTCCATCTCCTCCTTAGTTTCTTGTCCCAGGCGTTGTCTAGAATTTTGTGGACTTAGCTGTGATGGTTAGGCATGAGAAAATGGTTAGCAGGTATGCTACATTGGTACATTAACAAACCCCTGGCATAAGAGTATTTTTGTCAGGTGAGCTTTTATTGTTTTGGAAAGCAGTACAGCTATGTCAGCAGAAAAACTCCTTGTGTTTGGGTCTGCTAGCAGAATTATCCTGCCATAGCTAAACTGGTAGGGGATTTTCTAGTGTAGACCAGCCCCCAGCTTCTTTGCCTCGCTAGTCCTTATTTTTCCACATCCCTGTTGCTTGTCAGAGCTTTTTCTCTGTACAGTATGTGGAGGAATGAACTGGAGAGAAGCCATCGCTATGGGACAAAACAAGTGAGGAAACGTATAAAAATAGCTACAAAAGAATTTGTTGCCTTCTGTTGCCTGGCAGTTATAGTGGAAAAAAGCAAAGATCAGTCCTGAAAATGGTGGAATGAAATGCAACAATGAAATTAACACGCATGAATTCTCAGTTCATTACACTGAAATAACTGATTGTTAGAAAACTGCATGGAGTTTGTCCAAGTTGTGTTGGATTTGTTTTTGTTTTGTTTTTTTTACATGGACACATTGCAGGAGAAATGGCTGCCGTCTCTGTTAATGTACGATTTTAAAGTCAAGAGTATGTAGTAGAGTCGCTTGTATTTTTCCTTTTTTGCCAGTAAAAAGGGTAATTTCAGCAGCAAACTGCATTGCTGCTTTCTGCTGTCTTGAACAAGCACATGTTTTTTGCTTGTCTGGTCTTTGTATTCTGTGACAAATCACTCCATAAGTCCCTTTCTTGTTTCTTCATACAACACCATTTTTAATAAAGCATCCATCTAAAAATTTTGAATCCTCTTTTTTTCACTATTTTACTTCTCTGTACCACCACGGGTTTTTTTCATCTTTTTCTTCTGCTTAGATCCACTTATATCTCAGTCTTTGAATTTCTGTCACTTATTCTAACTCCCCACTCCTTTGAGATGCATCATGTACATATAAAAGGGTTTTTTTTCCAAATATATTTACTTTCTACTCTGCAGTTTTTAAATTGTGGAGTTGTCTTAATTTATGTTACAGGGCTCAAACATTTCCCCCTAGTCTCCTTGCACTGTAGCAATTGTCTGACAAGTGCTAGATTTTACAAAGTGCTAGTTCATTGCTGTGTTAATGCAGTGATGTCTGTGAGCTGGCTTAGTACTTACTTAAGGTCAAGGATATTTAAAGCTGTTTGTACTAATGCATTTTCCTCAGTGATGAGCATTAATGAAATCTGAATTATCATTTAGGCATCAATGAGCTTGCTTGGTCATCTCATGCTCCCAGTATTAGGGACCTGACCTAGAAGAAGTAGCTTTTAAAGTTCAAGAAGCTTTTAAAGCAGTTGCATCTAACCATTTTTTGTATTGCTATACTTATTAATGATTAAAACCCATAACCTTTGATACCAACCAAAGCTCCCTTTGCCATTCAGCTTTTAGTAAAAGGAAGTGACAAACATGCTTAAAACTAAATAAATCTCAAATAAAACTTATCATAGGCTATACTATAACAAACCACCAACTGCATATAGACAGTTACAGGCAAGGTTCTTTTGGTAGATGTGATATGTTTTATTAGATCAACTGAGTAGTTGGAACAAAGTTTTTTGAAAGCTTTTGGGGACAAGTACTCTTCTTCAGGCATAGGGAGACTGTTGTTGTTTTGACATCTCCAAGGAATGAAAGAAGCCAAAAGTGTGATAGGAGGTCAGGGAGAATGTAAATAGGTAGAAATTAGGAAAACAATGGGTAGAGAAGGGAGGGGAGGAAGGAGGAGGCGGAAAATGGGTAAAGGAATGCCAAAGGTAAGCAAACAAGGTTCTTTGGGTGAATCTGATATCTTTTATTAGACCAACATAAATAGTTGGAAAAAATAATTTTAAGCAAGCTTTTAAGCAAGATTTCAGGTTCAAAAACCCTTCGTCAGGCTGAGGAAGTTTCAGTAGTTGGTGTGTGCTCTTCCTGGATGGAATGAAAAGTAAAGAAGCCAGAGGCTGGACTAGTATGCATACAAGATAGGCAGTCAGTGAAGATGTAGATTGAGGAGTCAATGGGTGAGAGAGAGGTTGGGTTGTGGGGGAGGGAAGGGGTATGAATAGTGGAGAGGTACCTGGGGAGTCAGATGTCAGGCAGGTTATGATGTGTCATAAATCTATATTTTTTAGTCCATGATTTTTAGTATCCAGGAGGCTGATGAAGTGGAGTTCATAGGCTCGTCTCTGGGAAGTGCTTTGTAAGTTTCCTTTGAGGATTAGAACTGAGAGATTGGAGAGAGAGCGGCTTTCTTGTGAGAAATGTGCTCCCACCGGTAATTGGGTATTCCTGTCTTTGATAGATTTCCAGTGTGCATTCATTCTGGTGCGCAGTTGTTGTTTGGTCTCTCCTACGTATTTTGCATCAAGGCATTTGGTGCATTGGATGAAATGTATTACGTTTCTGGAGGTGCAGAAATGGTAAGCAAGGGAGACTCTGCTGTAGTAATGAGTTCTTCAAGGTAGAAAAGAGGTAGTCTGTGAAAAATTAAAATACAGTGGAATCCTCTTATTGGAATCACTTTGAGAAATGCTGATTTGAGTCTATTAACTGGCTGATTCTGTTAAAAGGAGATGTGTTTTTAAAAAAACACAGATATTCACTCCTCTGCCACAGTCCCCTGTCCCTGCTTGTGCCTCTCACTCCCTCCTATAGCCCCCCAGCCCTACTGGTGCCCCTTGCCCCCCACCCACAGGCCTCTGTTCCCCCAGCCCTGCCAGAGGGGACCCTCAGCTGCCAGGGCTACAGGGCCAGGACCCGGGTCTGCAGCCCCCTTCCTCTGGCAGGAGGCAGCAGCTGCTGAAGCAGAGTGGAGCCCAGATCCCCACCTGCTGCTGCCTGCTGCAGGCTTGGGTGCAGGGGGTGTGATCAGCTCCCTGGCACAGCGCGCACTCCTGGAGGGACGGGGAGACCCATGCCCCCCAGATCTGTGTGCAGGGCGGAGGTGGAGGTGGGGGCGGGCACAGGAAATGAGGGCAGCAGTGTGGGGTTGTGCTCTGCAAAGCTACCACACACACAGGGGTGCATTGCTAGGGAGCCTGGTTCCCACCCCCTGCCCCCTGAATGAGCTGCCCATGGCCTCGTCCCACTCCCTGCTGGGGCCCCAGCACTGCCCAACTCTCTCCCTACAGGGGCTCAAATCCCCC